TCTTTTCTTAAAGTCACTTTCTAATTTGTGAAGCTCAATTATCTTTTGCTGCACATCAGAAATATAGTCTTTGGTTTTTCTCATTGTGATGGATGATTAAGATAATTTGGGCTTTGTTTTCCCTCCTATTTATATTCCTGTGAAACAGGAAGCCATGGCTGGATAATTTCATGTTCATAATCACCCTAATATGCTCAAAATTGTAAATATGAATGGGAATATACTTCACAGATATTTTACTCATAAGAATTTCTAGGGGTACCAATAATTGTGTCCAACGTGTATTTGAGAAAACATTTATGTCATAATGATATTTCCCCCCATTTTAAATTCTTATTCTCCAATGAAAGGTTAGATTTATGTGAATTTTTTTAATAAAAGATCAAAATGATTAACAATGCAGATTTATTTTCACAGCCTTCTTTGATCATATTTAGCAGACTCTGATTTAGGTCATATCTCATTTGTACTCTATACAGTCTATACTATATTCATTTGTACTCTATAATGTTGCTTGTTTGTTTTTTTCAAAGCCCATTTCATTTAAATTAACAATTGGAAACAACATTATTTAGCAAATCTTAAGTCAACTTGCAACTAGTCGCAACATAACTGTTCACACAGATTACTCAAGTCTCTCTAAGGCAAATAATGTATTTAAATTGTGTTGTGTATGAAAGTATATTGAGTAGGAAACATACATGAATAATACATTCGACATAGGTTTACACTGTAAGATGCTGTAAGATGTATTTATTAGCAGTTGTTTTATTTAGACAATATGTACTCAGTTTTTGTATTTTCTCTATATTATACATTTTTATACAATACAATTTTAACTATATTTTTTGCAGCAACTTTGTAATTATAATGGTAACACTTATTAGTTGGTATTAGTTAATGCATTAACTAAAATGAGCAATAAATTTGATACAGTACTTATTAATCTCATTAATTTTAGTTCATGTTATCTCAGGTTCTTTAAATAATATTAGCAGATACAACTTTTGATTTGAATAATGTATTAGTAAATTAACATTAACTGAGTTTAATAAATTCTTCAGAAGTATTTTCCATGTGAACAAATGGAACCTTACTACTTAAGGTGTTTTCATTATAATACTGTATATCAGTTTATTTAAATGGCTAACCAGTTATACTTTGTATTATAACATAATAATATTATAAAATAATATTTTAGTATATAATCTTACTTTAAGAGTGAACTATATAGTAGTGTGATTAATAGGTGGTGTTTTCGTGCAGAAAGGTGTGTGCTTGAGTAATTTAAACAGAAGCCTTGAGCATGAGAGGAAGTATGTGAGGAGTCACTGTGCGATTCTGTGTGGGAGGAACAATGGAGGCTCTTGAATGCAAAACTTGACTTAATATCAGTGCTGTCATTACATGTCAGATCTCACCACTGTTGATAGATTTCTAAGACGTTTTATAGGTGGTTATTAAGTGAAATGGCATTTATTTAAGTTATTTACCCATACTGAAAGTAGGGTACTATCAAATGGTAATAGAACACAAGTTTTCCTATAAACTTAGTACTACAGGTACATCTCAAAAAATTTGAATATCATGAAAAAGGTCAGTATTTTTTGTCACTCATTTCAGAAAGTGAAACCCATATATTATATAGATTCATTACACATAGAGTGAAATATTTCAAGCCTTTATTTCTTGAAATTTGGATGATTATGGCTTACAGATAATGAAAACCCAAAATTCAGTGTCTCAGAAAATTTGAATATTACATAAGATCAATAAAAAAAAGGATATTTTAAACAGAAATGTCAGGCTTCTGAAAAGTATGTTCATTTCTATGTACTCAATACTTGGTTGGGCCTCCTTTTGCATGAATTACTGCATCAGTGCGGCGTGGCATGGAGGCAATCAGCCTGTGGCACTGCTGAGGTGGTATGGAAGCCCAGGTTGCTTTGATAGCGGCCTTCAGGTTATCTGCATTGATGGTTCTGGTGTCTCTCATCTTCCTCTTGACAATACCCCATAGATTCTCTATGGGGTTCAGGTCAGGCGAGTTTGCTGGCCAATCAAGCACAGTAACACCATAGTCATTGAACCAGCTTTTGGTACCTTTGGCAGTGTGGGCAGGTGCCAAGTCCTGCTGGAAAATGAAATCAGCATCTCCATAAAGCTT